TCACATTCTCGGTCATTAGCAGAAGTAAGAGGTATTTCGTACGATGGTGTAGCAGCATATCTATCTACTTGCCGTGGGTCAATGTAAATCCCACCAGCATCTTTACAAGTTTCCAAGCTGTAAATCAGAATGTCTTTAGGATCTCTTTTAGCAGTATCTGCTTTATGCAGGCTGGTTTCAGAAGAGTTCCTTTCATTTTCCTGTAATAGATTTGTATAGGGATTGGAGATACCAGAAATTAAAAGCTTAAGAGGACATACCGTTTCCATCATGTTTTGCTCAGGTAGAGAACTGTTTTCATGGAGTCCTGAATTATTTTCACTTGATCTAGTTGATGCCCCATTGAAATCAGTTTTCACAAGTACATTTCTAGCATTGGTTTCCTCAACTGATACAGGAAACCTCTCAGTTTCAAGTTGGCTGTTGGCTCTGTGAATCTGCAATGTACTTACAGGCTCCTCCAAAACTACAGGTCTCTCTAGTACATTAGAAGCAACACTGTATTCTATATTATCACTATTTAACATAGAATTGTCTTGATCAATGGAACCTTCAGAATCTGACTTAGTTTCCATTATACAATGTTTTTTCCCTGCATGCCACAGTTCACACTTCAAGCCATTTACGGGCTCTTCTACAGTTATTAATCTGCAAGAGTTGATCCTTGCACTCAGTTGATCTTCCAGTCTATGGAATGTACATTTGTCCCATAACGTGCATTGCTTATAATTCAAATCCATTTCACCAACTTCAGAATGTTCCAAAGACACACTGCAGCTGTTATCCTCATTAACTGAACTAGAATTTTCATGTGTTTTATCATCATTTTTTGAGAGGTCAAGTGGAACATGAATTTCCAAGCAATTTTCCTTTTGCATTCTTTCCTGTCCATTTACATTAAGAGTATCAGAAAAAATTAATGCATCTTCACTTTCCTGTGATCTCTCACTCACACTGCTCATCTCTGAAGGTAAGTTATCTGTTTGAGACAGATTGGGCTGAGCAAGCCTTATACACCTGCCCTCTTCATTAGTACTAAACCCTGATACATGGGATATTCCTGCTTCAAAACCCAAATTATTTGATGTAAAAGGCATTTTGATCGTGCTTTTTGTTAGATTTTCATGGTTAAAGGAAGGCACAGTAGAAATGTCTTTGCTGTTCAAGAGCTGGTCTACATTATATTGCTCACAAACATCATGTATTTCTTCATCTCTGCAGGCAGATAATGTCCAAAATTCATTCACATTTCCTGTAAAGTTCTGTCTGCTTTCAGACATTTGCCTATTCTCTTGACTTACATTTTCTGTATTACTTTGACCTATGCAGACTAAATCACTGATTGCTTCATCAAATTCTGATGAATACTTTGGATTTGCAAATAATTTTTTCGTGTTTGTTCCTTCGGTATTTTGATTTTCAGTAAGCTCACATTTTCTAACTTCTGTGTCATGGCCGTTCCCATTTTCTAAACTGGAACTGTATGCACATGCCATGCTTTTTAACTGCAGAGAACATTCTCCATCTTCTTCTAAGTGCACAGATGTTGCAGGAGTGTTTTCACTAACCAATTCATCCACAAAGATTCTACCATCTAGCGAATCGATTTCCAGAGCTTTATTTTGAGGGAATTCTTGAGCATGTGCTTGCGCCTTTAAACCATTTGCTGCTATGCTGTTATTTAACCTATAACCCCCATTGACTAAGCCAACTGAAGTTTTTGTCTCGCTGTTTGGCACCAAATTATCATCTTTTATGTTGTAAAATGCATCTTTCAGGATGCTGAAGTCAACTGGCACTTGTAATGGCTGCTGAACTAGGAGTTCTTTCCCACTTTCAAGAGGCCATGTTATACTGCACATTTCCACAACAGCTGCTGTTTTTATATCTGAAGTAGTCTCTTCATACACAATAGCTTGCCCTTGTCCTTCTTCTACATCCATTCTCAGATCATCATCGATTATACAAATACTGTAAAACTCATCTTTGGTGGTTATATGGTGCCTATCTATATCAAGATATGCAAAGGTTGAAGCTGCTGTTTCTCTATCTGCTATACCTGAAATTATTGCATTACTGTTACCTTTAACAGCCTCTACATTGTCCTGCATTAGTAAGCACTTGCCCATAACTGGATTGTCCTTTACACTGCACATATTTAAAGCTTTTGGTAAAAAACTTCCTTGACTTAAAGCTTCTGGCACATACAATGTGGAAGTATTTTCAAATGAACACTTTCCCTCCACAGTAGATCCAGTTTCACTATAGTTGTGAAAATGGTAGCTACCTGCATCATGTACACACAATGTATTACTACTGCTAAGTTCTGTAAGCCTTTCACCACCAGCTGCATCTTCCATTGGCTTGCACTCTTGCAAACTGCCATAACTATTCAAGACCCTTTTCCCATTATGAGGATGAAGCTTTAAAGGTCTACTGGCAACATGGTTACCTTCAGCAATATCCAAACAATGGTCTGAAGGGTATTTAACTGACTCCATGCAGCTGTTATGCAGAACAGCTTCTCCACAAATTATCTCTTGGGACACATGCAATTCTTTTTCTTCCATTGTCTCTAAAACTGAAGTTAAAGTTTTACTTATCCCACTTTCAGAGGCTTCCTCTTCAGAAGATTTTTCCAACAGACTCATTTTCTCATTCTTGCTGCTATTTAATTCTTTACTGAAACAGCAACCCATTTTGTTATGTTCCCTTTTGCAAGTCCAGAGACTATAAGCTCCTTTCCGCATAGGTCCAGTTTGCTTTCAGACTGCTGGGGAGACAAGCCAACACCCAGATGCCAAAAATAGTAATGCTTCAGCAGTGCAGGGGGCTCACATGCTATTGCCACTCAAAATCCAAAGTCCATTACTTTAACTTTTTAAAAACTTCATACTATGAACTGGAAGCATCATTTTCATTTTTCAAGAGGGGGTGTTATGTTTTATTGTAAATCAAAACCTTGACTTGCAGCATTTACAATTTTAAAAAACAAATTTAGCTTACATTTAAAAACACAGGTCCAATTAAATATCATCATAAATATACTGAACCTGCAATTACAATCCCACAAAGTTAGAGTAATGCTTCTGCCATGGTTACACACATTGAATTAGGCACCAATTAAATATGGACATTAATTTCTGCCTCAAGTTTATATTTGACTAAAGCCACAGGGGTCAGGATTGTTGCTGTTCTGAGCTTATGCTGTAGTGGAGCTGCATTAAACAAGGCAAAAGTAATTTAAATCAGAAAGACAATCTAGAAGAGTAGATAAAAGGGTGAAACTTTTTAATATATCAGAAAAGGTGAATTTTAAATATATACTTTGTAAAAATTTTTTTTACAAAAATGCAGGCACTAACACTAGACAAATCAAATATAATGCCTCCCCACCCACCCCCCAGGCTAGAAGCCTTATTTTCCATCTTGAGTTATTCCATCTGGTCAACATTATTCTTAGATGGGCTTCAACTCTCATTGTAGCACAATGATATTTCCAATTATAGCTAGGGTCAAGGTATTTCATTACAGACCTCGTTAGATACATTTTGCTGTGGCTATATAGGACCCTTATCAAAGACTCAAGTCAAGCTAAGCTGAAGAGAAAATAAAGGAAAAGCAGGCCCCTTCTGCTCAAGTGTTCTTTGAAAGGGAGCATTTTCCTTGTTGCATCTCTTGGAGAAGCTGTCTGCCCCTATCTAAATTCCATCAGGCCTACGGTATTGAAGTGTTGCTAACTATCAACTAATGTACTGAAGTAGGCAAATAAACAGTAGCCACCAATTCAAAATCCAAAAAAACAGCAAGAGTAACAAACAAGCCAAATTTGATCTCAATGGCAATCAAATGTAAATAACTTGGCCTGGATCCAATCCACTGTAATCTTGTACTTGAAGCCATCCTTGCTGTTGTTAACAGCAATTCAGATTTTATTTTGCAGTGGTTCTGATACTGAGTGGCTCTTGATGACTGGAATTTTCACCCAACTTGTTCTTTCACACTCAGTTTCAATTATTTCCACAACAGCAGGGCCAGGCAGGACATATACCAAAGACCCTCCAAAGGAAAAAAAGTTTAGTTCCTTGTACCTGTTACTGAAAATAGTACAGGCGTTTTCCTCCAGGTTATTAACAAAAGGAAGGCTTAAAGATCCATCATAAATATGGTAAATTAGCAGAGTGAATGGAGAAGAAAGGGTCAGTTCTCATGAGGTAGGAGTGGAGTGGGATCACACAGGGAAAACGAGAAAAGGAATACAGGTACTTAGGTGAGTAAAGAGAGAAACGGTGATTCCTGTCTATGTTCGATGGCAGTCAAAAAGGAAGTGAAGGGATGGGTGGGAACTCTCTCATGGTTTCCAGGGAACAGAAAGGGAAGGACCTCCCACCCACTACATGAACACTTAGCTTTAGAAGCTTTTCCCTGTTCCAGGCTCAGCACTGGCATGAAAGCCCATGTATGTGATGCACAGATATCATGAAGAATGTCATGCTAGGTATAGAAGTTGGAAGTCACATATGGAACACTTAAATACTCTAGCACACCCTTCTCCATTTAATCGCTTCTCATTTTGTGAAGCTAACTCTTCTAGAAGAATCAGTGAGCTATTTTTATGCAGGAAACACACATTACTGCTATAGAAATTAAATCCAAACACAGCAGCAGAAAACTGAGATGGAATATATTTGAAACTTTGGCAATTTTTCTCTGGTTCTGGGAAGATCCCACAAATGGAATCAGTGGAGTTATTTCTCCTTTAATATAACTAGCATAACCAGAAGCTGAAAGATTACTTTTATTTTATGTACTTATATACTTAGCACAACTGCATAAAATTGGCAGAGAAAAGCTTTCTACTTGGAATTATTAGAATCAAATGGAATCATTTTGAAAAACAGCTTGACAAGTTACCAAAGACAAATACATACTTCAGGGTATAGAATAATGTCTAAAAATTTTTATGCAAGGACTCATAACAACTTTATCACAATACTTACTAGATGAGAACTATCTTTAACTTCTTGTACTTGCTGCACCTGCGGTTCAGCCACAACTTTAGTGTCCTGATCAGAAGTCATGAGCTGCCTGCTTTCTGGCTCCTCAGAGAGAACTGTATTGATCACCTTTTAAGCAGGAGGACAGAAAAAAGTGTCAGAAAGAATGCATAGTTCATTTTATGTAGAACTAGCAACAGTAAACAAAAGGTAATGTTAAACAATAACAATTGGCAGATTACACTGAAAAGTGCAAAGTTCATACTTGATATTCCATGAAAAGCATTCGATTGGGTTCTTATCAGTCTCACCAGTGTTTCTTTGCTAATGATTTTTATTGTTATATTTGAGCCTCTGAGCATGCACAAACAGAACCCTTTCTACCATTCATTTCACAAAGCTCTCTTTATGAACCCATCTGTGTCTCACCCGGGGGGGGGGGGGGGGTGTTTAAACCCCTCCCCCCCCCCTTTTGGCCCCAACTGCGCTTCCCCCCCGTCCATGAGTGACTGGGTCTACTCCTTCAGGGGACAGAGGTTCTCCATCGCAGAGATTTTCCAGTCTACTTCCCTGTTCCCACAGCCAGGTAGACTGGTCCCCCACTGGAATTTCCCACTGACTCTCAGCAGGTGCAATCTGAACCATTTTATAAACAGTCTCATCAGCATAACCTCAGTCATCGGTACAGCCAGCACAGAGAGCCTCCCAAGAGCGTACCTGAAATTTGACAGGGCACACATGCACAACAGAAGGGGCTTGACCTGCACAAGAGCTTGTAATGGGGGAGGTTAAGAAAGTCTCACCATGTGAACAGAATTTAACTCGAGCACCTTTGGATCCAATCTGTACCTACTGCAAGTGCTTCAAGAAGCATGTCCAAACTGTTCTATCCTGTTTTCAGAACACTTAGCTGGCCTTGACATCTCTTAAGCATTTTTGAATACGAGGCCATAAGATGTCAGTTTGGAATGGGTTGGAAATGCAAATGATATATCAAATCAGTATTTTAAAGAAATAGCACAATGTCCACCTCATGAATCACTGACCAATTGATTCCATGGAAACAACTGGCACTTGCAACAAATGATAGATTATCAGATACCTTTGACTAGTAAGTGATGTCTATATACATGTGCGCCTCATATTGAAATTAGAGATTACACACTTCTTGCCAGAACTGTAATTCTAAGCAGAGCATACTGCCAAGAAGTGAAACATAATTAAAGAAAATGTGTTAGTTGCTACAGAGCCTTTGATAATGTAGTTTAATAATCTAGTAGACTGACATGCTTGCAACTCTCAACTAGACCACACCACAAAATCCATTGTCTATAGCAAGCTGTATTGTACAAACCCCTCTTTCTAGACTTGCTTGATAGAGTCACAACTTTAAGATTTTTAAATGAGGAATTTCTCAGTCTATAACATGCATCCCATAAAGTAAAAATAACAGGCTAATTTACTACAAATAGAACCAGAATATAAAACAAGAGAATACGAGTTGTTATCACCTTCAGCTCCCACCTAAATTCACTCAAATTTATCATTAATGATCTAAAACTCATCCTGGATGCTTAAGCCTCTCGAAGATCTTGGGTGATAGGCCTGTACTTGCTTACAGGCAGCCAACCAACCTAAGTCGCAAATCACAGACCTTGTAACAAAGGTACAGACCACAGAAACTGGATCCCGTGGCAGACCCAGATGCCAATTCTGTTCTTGGGGAATACTCAGAGAATACTATCACAGGACTTGATTATGTCATCCATAACATCAGAGGTTCATAAAACTGCTAAACTTCTAGCACAACATATAACATGATTTGCTAGCAGCACCCTACTGTATTCTAAATAGGACAAACAGGCCAGTCTCTGTGGAATAGAATAAATGAATACAAAACTTAAATCAGAAATGGCGATAGTGAAAAACCAGTGGGGGAACAGTTCATTCTCTCAAGATACTCTGGCCTGAGTCCCATTGTAATACAACTCCAGGGTTGCTTAAACCAGGAGTTTTTGGAGCTGAGCAGCAACAAATTAGCATATGGCCTCCCGCACAATTGACACTTCCTCTTTTAATCAACAACACAGGAACACCCTCCTTATTGCTATGTCTTATTTATTGTTACTGTTTAGTGATTAAATAAGCCAGAGTTAACTCAAACCATTGCCAATTGTTAGCTATAGATTAATGAACCTAAATTACATTGTAAGTTTTTTCTATAAGCAGTCCCTGCATTACAAACATCTGAGTTATGAACATCTGTACTTAAAAATTGCCATAAAGCCTATTAATTTAAAAATTCCAATTCAAGATGAATGGTTGATAGTAACAAATGTGAGCTAATTTCCACAGCCTACTGTGGAAAATTGTCATCAACATAGAGAGAAGTAGTGAAAGGGAAGAGAGGGAGGCTTCCAAAGCATGCCTTCTTGCACCACCCATCCAGAGACATTAATCTCTCTGACATTTCCTTGGTGCGAAGAGAAGGACTGATAAGCGAAAGAGAGGGTAGGGAATAAGAACATGATGTCATAAATGAAGGAGGGGAGCCCTGCTGGATCAGACTGAGGTCTGGGAGAAGTAATCCAGTACATGTACGGTCAACAATATTAAGAGTTACAGTATGGGTGGGGGGGAGGGGGTAGAGATATTTGCATTTTTTCCACTTTTGTGGGTGCTGTGTCACTAATCCCCACGAATGTTAAGGGCAGACTGTTTATGGAAGTGCTTAAGTTGTAGATTTCAACTCCCAGCATTCCTCACCATTGGTAATATTGGTAGGAGCTCCTGAGACTTGGAGCCCAAAACTTCTGCATTATGAGCGAATTGCTTTTATGATTGGGAAGGAGGGACGAAGGGGAGTTGCAATAGCAGTAGTCCCTGCATTATGTACCTCTGAACATATGGCTGCCATAAACCCCATATGAATATCTTTAACAAAAAGCTGTGAATATAGAGAACTATGCAATGCATTTGGTGACATTTCATTAGTGGCCATGTACTTCCCTAGGGATATTCACAGCTTTCTGTAGAGATAGAGATTCTCTAGAGACAGTCATGGCTTTTCATTCTGCAGCATCAGTTTGAACTTACCCAAGCCTGTGTGTTTTGGGTCCTATGTAGAGCCTCAAGAATGAAGCAAAACCATGGCAAAATGGTATCTAGGAAGGGAAGAAGCAGAGGTGCTCTTCTCCTTGCTCCTCTGTTGTTGTTCTTTTAAAACTTGAAATCCTGTTTTTATTCATGACTTCCTAACCCATGAGGTAACATTAAACCTAACATTAACTAATGATGACGGAGACGGAGAGTCAGAATTTAATTGTGCTGCTGGGCGGATGGGGATTAGCACTGGAGTTCTTTTCTTGAAGTAGCCATTTTCTTTTTCTCATCATAAATGGCCTTGTAGCAGCTGAGGGCATGCTAAACGGCAAATGCTAAAGGGGAATTAGATTAATATTAGTGTGCTCATACTACAGATGGGAGAGAGGGAGGGAGAGAGGGAGGGAGGGAGGGAGAGAGACAGACACATTTGGCTTACTCATACGTTCCAACTTACATATAAATTCAACTTAAAGAAGTTCTCAGGAACGGAAGTCATCCATAAACCAAGGACTACCTGTATAGGGGGAAGGCTTCAGCTCTTTTTGGTGCACTGTACTCTGCTTGGAAGAAGAGTAACAGTGCTTCTCCTGCCTGCTGCCTCTGCTCAGTTCCTGTATTTCCAGGCAGAATACTAGGGGCCAATCATGTTCACAAAATCATTTTTCTAAATTGTAATCTTGATAAATTTGAATAACAGCAGTTTTGCTTAAATAAATCATGGCTGAAGTAAAGAACTTCAATACATCACTGAGAGAAATGCACATGGGGACATGGGGGGGGGGGGTTACAGCTCTCCCACACACACCTTACCACTACCTCCTTTTTCCCCTGTAAAAGCTGGCTCTTGAGACTTGAGAAGTGACTTGGACTATAATTGCCTATTCCTTTTACACAACTAACTACTCTATTTGGAATACATCTTTCATCTCTTTTTTGGTACAGAGCAAAGAATCAGTTATTCTTCCAAGGCTGGGATAGTAGGCACATGGCGCTTCAGATGCTGATGGACTGCAACCCCCATGAGCCCTAGCTAACAGAACCAATGGCCATTTTTGCATGTAAACTCCCCAGTTTCAATTTGCAATGCTTGGTTTAGCCTACCTGATCATATTTACTGGTCAGACATACTTACAGAAGATGGCACCATAAATCTCTCATCTGTCATCTGATCAGCTCACAATCAATTTGTCAATTGAAAATTGAGATGCCCAGCCTAGCATGATTAGTCTGGAGGAAGACGTTTCCTCCATTAGTCTACCATGAAACATGTTTTTAAAAGTAACCTTTTAAAGGCTTGGAACTCAAGGCTTTACTGTATGAGGTGCAAGCACTTTTGTTCAAGCAAAATTTCTTCTCCAATATCTACAAAGTCCCTGCGCTAACATTCTGCTGCAGTCTGATGTGCCATAGCTATGTTGTTCAAGCAAATTCCCCGAACCTTTAGGTTTTTAGCAGCATTTTAAGGACTTCTTCCATGAAATGCAAGCCTGCTTATTGAAGTTAAGAGCCAAGCCGGCTTTTCTTAAAATTATAGTGAAAAGTGCCAAACCGAAGAATATTTGGGTCCCAATCACATCTATCAGTCATGGTGTAGCCAATTTATTTATTTTAGGATTCGTGGGGTTTTAATGTTTGTAAACCACCCAGAGAGCCCTCTGGGATATTGGGGTTGTATATAAATGCAATGCAATCAATCAATCAATCAATCAATCAATCAGAACATGGTATTTTCTCATTAGTATTTTATGAGCTAACAGCTAAAGTTATTCTCGACCAATTAAACTGGTCTAGAAGGCTATTTATTAGTATGAATTTACTTAGAAACTGGGACTGCAGGTGGCGCAGTGGTTTAAACTGCTGTGCTGCTGGGTTGGTAGACTGAAAGGTCGCCGGTTCGAATCTGCACACCAGAGTGAGTTCCCATTGCTCCATCCCAGCTCCTGCCTACTTTGCAGTTCGAAAGCATGCAAATGCAAGTAGATAAAAAGGTACCACTTCGGTGGGCAGGTAACAGCGTTCCGTGC